TATGTGTGTGTGTGTGTGTGTGTGTGTGTGTTATAAACACAGTCACAGAGTCAGAGTTTGCTTAGTAAGTACTATATAGATCAAGAGTGAAAACGGATACTGGTAGCGCCGTTGTGCAGAACGCCATCCACAAAATATGACTATGATATCAAACGCTCTACCCTTAAATCCCTTTCTAAGTGCGAACAAGAGAACATCCCTTTACCTTACCTTGTTCCTTTGGGATTCGCCTCCCTTGTGCAATTGTTTTCCTCGAATCCAAATATGCTGTATACACCACTATCCACCGGTCCCTATGAGAAGGATCTTTGACTACTTCCATCTTCTACCGTTATACCTACCGACTACTTCAAATGCTTTTGTTATTGTTCAGACGACTACTTCCATGCGCTGGTAATGTTAACTAACAATCCGATATATGAAGCAGCCCCTTGTTGATTCTCATATATATTTGTCTATTTGTACTAAATATGATACGAAAGAATATTATCTCGTGTAAAACAAAATATTTACATATATACGTGTGGTAAAATAAAACACGCACCAAAACATACATCGCGAGTCTCAGACCCTCAGTGAGGCTCCAGACCCGTGAGGCGCAGTTTTAAAAGATGAGCAAATATCTTCTCATAAAAGTCCTAAGTACATAGGCCACCCTGACCCAACAAAGTCAGACTGAGGTGCAGTTTTAAGATGAGCAAATATCTTCTTATACTAAGTAAATAGGCCAACCTGACCCAAGCTTAGACCTTATTTTAAAATATACCCCAATTAACGTTTTTATCGAAACTTCTATACGCTTACTTTCAAAGATAAATAGCGAGTCCTGGCTCTTTTGGTTTTGGTTTGGTTATGGTTTTGGAAATAAATTTTCACCGTCATAACCGGCGCGCAGCACTCGGCACATTTAGTTGTGGGCTTGTGGTCTGTTGTGAGTTGTGGCAGTCGTGAAATGCTAGGTTGGTAAACGACGCTGACATTTGGTCAAACGACATGTCATACATGTCGCGGCGACATTTTGTAGGACATGTAGGTTGCGAAATGATGTCGGCAGGTCTGCTGGTGGCTGTATCGTACCCTAAATACATACACATATGAGACGACATGTCATACATGTCGCGACGACATTTTTTTCACTGGTGTATGTCGTTGTCGTATACCATCCCAGGACTCGCTGACGCACTGAAATGTGAATCGTATCATTCATGTAAAATTGTAAATAGACTCTTATACTCGTGACTCGGTGAGTCGACAACTCGGCACATAATATTTGTATTCAAAATATTTTTAGTTTTAGTGTCAGGCGAAAAACGTATCTGGGAATAAACAATTAACCCCTAAACCTTAACTGCATTCCAGAATTGTTTGCGCTGGTGATTGTTTTATTATGATTATCTTTGAAGGCTATAGTCTATAGTCAATATAATTAGATGTTCGCTTTCCATTTTTATAATAAAAAAACAAAACAAACCCAAATATTTAAATATAGAGCAGCCCGCCCTTCTGGGGACTGGGGCTTTTACTATTTATTAAAAAAATATCCTCTATTATTATTATTTTTTACATTTCGTTTGTTTTCTATTTATTAAAAAACAAAGCTTAAAAACATGCCGATTTTTATTTACTGATGAAACTATTTACTGATATTTCTATTGTTTTTTCTTTTTTGAAAATCACAGCGCCTTTTTAAATAACATTTTCGAAGCCTTTTATGAGAAATTATCGGCACTTTCACATTATTTTTACATAAATATTTATCACTACACCTAAAAATTAAAATTAAAATATTCATTTTATAGCGACATACTAAAAATTGTTATTTACGTCCCTACCCCCTTTCCACTATTTACATGCTATAGAGAGAGTAGAATAGTAGTGCAAGTGTAGTAAGCGTTCTATACCTTCTGCACTGACGCAAGGGAAATGGGCACAATCGACGAATGATTAATAACCACCAGATTGACTGAGGTGCCGGTCGTGTGAAGAACTCTTGGGGAGTTTATCGAGTTTGTTCCTTATCTATCGCGTGCTTTCAAGTGCGCCAGCAATACACATGTCACTAGCGTATATACAGTGAGGGTATCGCTATCTACTCGTCACAATGGGTGGCACTAGTTCGTCACTCACGAGCAATGAAGTAAGAGATATAGCTGAGCAGTATCAATGTGCACCAAGAAAAATCAAGATTGTTTGGGCGGAATATCAGGAAGCTCTGTGGCAACAACAAAATGAGAGACTAGATAGTGAAAGGGAAGCCAGCTCACCTGGAAAAGTCGGAACTCCACGATCAAAAGGTATCGTGAACACTATACTTCGTATAACAATATTTCGATACCTTATTAGACTTGTGTGCATAATCTAGAGAAACAAACACTGTTATCGCGGTGTTGCAAATTATATGCACGCACACCCTCAGGTAGCACGTTTTCATGTGCCCTTCAAATTGTGTGCAAAATTTTACTTTCTGAAGGTACCGCAGACATTTACATTTTGCACATATTCTTCCACCGTGCAAGTATATATATATAACTATATAATTATATAATTATATATATATGTGTGTGTGTGTGTGTGTGTGTGTGTGTGTGTGTGTGTTGCTATGTGTGTGTGTATATATGAGTGCATATATATATATATATATATATATATATATATGTGTAGTGTGTTAGTGTTGTTTCACGTGTGTCCTGTGTGTGTGTGTAACAACATATATATATATATATATATATATATATATATATATATATATATATGGCCACGTCTGTGCATGTAAGAGACACTCATGGACAATCTTTATTTTATATGTCATGATCAACTTTTACTCATAAACTGTCCCAAATTGGGTACACTTCACTGAGGGGCTTGCGTTATATCTATAATCCTTCTAGCGCCAGATCGTTAGACTCATTTTCCATGTTTGCGTCATTGAGGTATAAGCTCATTCCGATCTACTTGTTCACTTTCAACCAGCGCTACGCAACAAAACTACGCACCGAAAAGAAAGCATAGTACAAAACGAAAGCTTGGATTTCGAAGCCTTTCGAACGTTCTGCTCCTCTTACTTTAATATAGACACAACCTGTGAGAACTCAGTGAGACATCTTTTTGGAAGCTTTGATAAAGGTATGGATAGTTTGCATGTGTTTGCTCATCCAGGCAACTCACGAGGGATATATCCTGTGTTATGCAGAGTTTGCGTAGTGTGAGTATTCGATTCGGTATAGTTACAATCATCACGTGTCGTTATACATGTTTTTTACTTTGAATACATTTATATGCACCAATCGAAAGACTTTCATGGAAATATTCAACATTTGTTTCTTGGGTAGCTTGGTCTGCAATGTAGCTAGATATCCGTCGTTTGTATACATAGTATACTACAGCAGGACGCGTGCATATATTGTTGGTCGGTAGAACCATATCAACACCTTATCTTGTTTGAATAATCTTACTGTGCCTTCTCACTGTGCAGATGGCGATGGTATGGTCTCGTTCGACGAAATCATGGTCAGCGCTATGGTTCTCGACAACGGCACTCCAGAAGAGAAGCTCCAATGTATGTTTTGAGCAAGTATAGTACACGGTGTACTACCGCACGTGCTTATGATGCATACGCGGTCGCATTATTGTTGGACTCGTACGCCTGCTTGTAACGGCGAGTTTTTTGGTGGCGTTGTGCACAGCAATTTTGTTGGGGTGTTTCTAAAATGTCTGCTGACTTGCCTGTTCGATCTGACTCACCGCTGTTTTTTTGCTGTTGTTTTTTTCCCGTCTCGACAGTTTTATTCCAAGCGTATTGCCGGGATGTAGAAGCTGGCTTGAATATTGAAACTCAGGTAAATTTTGATCAGCTGTGAAGTAAATAGTGCACTCCTCAGTTGTGATTGTATTCGTATTTTCAATTTCATGTAAAATTTAGCTTGCGGTACTGAACTTTGGTTTCAAAATTGGGTTGCACCAAACAAAATTACTCTATCCCGGCTATTTTGTCGTCAGCCAATGATATAGCAGGTTGTACCTCGCGTTGCATTTCCCCTGGTTGCTACCAAATTTGCATCACGTCATGTTTGACCGCTAGCTGTACTTCTGGTATACAATTCTGTCACTTCACGATATATTCCTTACCTGTCGAAACATTCGCAATCTATCATCAACCACAGCTTGGGCCTATCTGCGATCAAATGGTTGCGACAAATGTTGCCATGGGCCGAAACGTGGAGGGACTCAAACCGGTATGTAGCTTTGCGTGCAGCACCGAGCAAGTTATTTACAAGGAGTTCAAGACAGTGACACACGCTCAGATTCTATCCTGGGTCGAGTCTGAATGACCCGAGTACAATTAACTTATATTGGAGGCCTAATTCCATACGAATGTGCATCATAGAGGCGCTCATGCATAACGTAGGCAGAAGGGCGCTTTTGCGTTATATAATCATCGAATATTCCAACCAAACGGTACTACTCGGGGCATATACGGATGTTGTGCACCAAATTCCGAATTATCACTCAGCAAGAGACATCAGGTATCAAGCTGGTGGTTCCAATCCAAGGAAATATAAAAGATGTAAGATTCTACATGTAGCTAGTTTATACTGCCTGTTATCTACTCTACTCCTTTAATCATTCTCGTCACAGACTCTGATGAAAATGCTGAGAGAATTAGATCGCAGTGGGGATGGGTTTATCTGCGAGGAAGAATGGGTCCAGGGTGGTGTCAAAATTGTTCCTTTGCTGGTATTGCTAGGATTAGATCAGGTATGAATCCCCAGTTTAATCAAAAGTTGCTCAATATGTAGATATAACTTGTGGATTGAAGTCAGAGACTCCATGGGTTTGTATTGCTGGTCGTAGGCTTGTAAGAATTTGTACAAATATTGATGGAAGTTGATACCTTGCCTCACCTCCATTGCGGTTTTCGGCCGTCGTGAATCGGAACGATTGTGGCAGTGCTATCGTCACGTAACAAAGTCCTCGTTACCTAGGAACTTCTTCATATTACGTTTTTCTAACAATGCGGTGTAGCAACGACATCTTGTACTAACAAATTCGATTCAAATTATATTCATACAACGACACACTCACGCACGCGTAGTCGACGTACAATCTGCAAAAACGAGTGGAGGGAGCGCACATGTGGAAACTTACGCGACGAAGATCAGCATTGTCCACATCTGCCAGGAAGAACTTTTGTGCAATATGTCTGGAAAATATCAAAGCCGAAAGCTTGACGTGCAACTGTAAGAATACATTCCATTGTGCTTATGTTTTAATGTTCGCGGCATATCTAATGGGTTCTATTGTGGGGTTTGGATCATAATTGTCCCGACTGTGCGGTCAGTTGTACATTGCCCCTTCACTATTTTTGCGTTCTGTGTCTGTGAATACCATTAGCAGAATGAACGTTGCTTTGCTATCATTTTGTGATACAACAGATGATATATTTTCAGTCATTTCTCCGTGACTGCCCTACTCTCTCCTTTAATATCGAATTGGTTTTGCGGTCTCTCGTCCCTTACACATGTGTACATTTATAATCGGTTCAGTTTTAACTCCGGAACACAAGTGTTCCTTTCATTCTTTCAGAACCATTGAACGATGCACATGCACCAAAATTCAACTTCCACGCATCAATCTTGTGCGTTCAGCTTGCGGGGCTACCGTGCACATGGTCTGTAGTACAGTCAGTCATAAGTGTAGGCCCACATACTCGCTCACTGAGGGAGGCACCGTCCCGCAACACTTCTGGGTCGCCGGAGGTTACAAGGAGGATAGATGTATATCCTGTCTGGAGAAAACAAAAGAGAATACCATAAGCTATAAGTAAGTGCAAGTGTGATCGAGAAGTTTTGAAGACCGGAATGTTACTTGCCTATCTTTGTTGTGTGATACTGCTGTGTAACATGCAGTCTTTCGGATGTACTGCCGCGCACTATGTATACTTTATACGAAGGCTTTTTTTACTTGTGCACCGGTTGAAGGGTTAAACACTATCAATTGCGCCATAATAAACACTACATGGCCATATAAGCTGACGACCCCACTGCGCTTTTTTGCTCCTTTTCATTTAGATGCTCCTGGTGCAAGAGTTCCTTACACGACGTATGCAAGACAAACACGGACGGTCTCTCATCACAGGACGAGTGCACTCTAGGGCAATTCAGAAACCTGATAATTCCGTATACCGGATTCCATCTGAAACCAGTTAATCACGACAAGTCGATATCGGATATTGAACGTATGTGCGATTACAGCTCGATGTATAGAGGACTGAGTGTATTAATGTGATGCTCCTGTCAACTTACGTATGTATATCAGTTGTTTTCGTATAGTTCACTCATACTAGTATAAAGTTTTGCGTTTGTATGCGTGCCCTTCATGTATTGCAATAATTCATCGGTTGAGCACCTCATCCGTCACAATCTTGGAGATCAGTTCACTACGTTCTAAAGGATCTGCGGCGGCCTGTCTTCTTCTCTCATTTCGCTTCTTTCCATTTGTGGTATACAGGTCTTAAAATAAACGATACCGTGGAGTTCTCGCGTCGGAAGAGCTCCTCCTCGTACGATGAGTTGTCCAAGCCTCTGGAAATCATTCCGACAGAGAACTCGACTCCGTTACTCGTTCTTATAAATCCCGGCAGTGGGGGTCAACAGGGAGAAGGTATCATCGACCAGCTGTCGTACATGCTGAATCCGAGGTACGCGCACGGACAAGCAAGATGTTCTGCAAGCCTAACTTGTTGTTGTGGTGTTTAATCTAGTGATTGTTGCGAGTGAGGCGAAGTTTGTACGCGGTGGTGTCCTATGGTTTATTGTGCAGTTGAAGTGCCCTAAAAATGCCATGCAGATTATTACGAGGGTGTGTAGGGCAGAGTGCATAGTGACCAGCATATACTCACTTTGTCTCGCCGTCAATTATCGCACATTCAACTGTGCTATATCATGTGTCAGCCAAATATTCACACACGACAAATTCACACTCTCTTACATCCGCTTTTACACACGACCCATTCACACTCTAACCTACATCGGCCATTACACACTACCCATTTGCTACATACTCGCACAGACAAGTCTTCGACGTGATGGCTCACGGTGGACCGGGAAAAGCGCTGCAACAATTCTACGACGTGCCTGGGCTGCGACTGCTAGTTGCGGGTGGTGACGGCACTGTGGGGTGGGTGATGAGTGAGATTGATAAGTTGAATTGGCAGGATGCCGAGGGTCCACCTATAGCTATCTTGCCCCTGGGAACAGGTATTATAAATAGGGAGGGGGGAGGGTATCCTCGTTTGGTGGAACTTGATATAGTTAAATGAGATGTTGATGTTATTTCTCAAGCCCTGCGTGTATAAATACCATGTGCCAAGTTTGAAACGACTTTTCTGGTCAATCAACAACAGTGTAAGCTAAAGCAGCGATGCGCTGCAGTTGATTGTAGCTGTGCGTGCGCTCCCTCTTAAACGTGGAATATCTCTGTATATGCGCAGTATAATGAGTTTGTAATCCCTTTTAAACCTGTATGCATTTTATTATCAGTTTTTTGCTGTATATTTTCTGTGCCAATACTTATGTGTATTGTAACTCTTATCTAGGTAATGATCTGGCGCGATGCTACGGTTGGGGCGCGGGGTATACTGGTGGTAGGTTGTCGAGCATCGCTCGAAAAATACTGGCGTCTCGCAGTGGGTTACTGGACCGGTGGTCTATCACAGTCAAGAAGCTGAGGAAGTTGGAACGTTCCGACAGAGAAACTGAAGCATGTACGTATCTCTAATCGCTTTGTGCTATCATAATGGGTTGGATTGTTTTACGATAAAGATATACTTCTTCGCCGTACACATGCACATGTGTCCCCATCAACTGCCAAGGTGTTGTGAAGTGAAAGCCGCGGTGGGAGAAAATGGGGCATACTTGTGCGAGTTCTGAAGTTCATACAATTTCTTCAGAGGTGTCCTATACCTAACACGGATCTATATTCTACTTTCCCTCGTAGGCGATCCCCTACCACTCTCAATCATCAATAATTATTTCTCGATAGGAGTCGATGCGAGTATAGCTGTAAAGGTATGTTATAGTGTCTGCGTTCTGTGCGTATTACAGATTGTCAGTAAGTCTGATATACCAACCATCATGTAATCCACCGCTTTATTATTGTGTGATTTGTAGTTAACTAGTCTGAAACGACTCGTCGAGGCTCAATGTCTACATAGATACTCCGGTGTGACTGTGCGGATGAGTTGTATCACTACATGCTCAACATTGGGTCCCGGACTGTCATTCTATCTGTTTTAGTCAAACTCGAATTCGACCGAAGGGAAGAAAATATACACGCGAGATGACCAAGAAAAGTTAAAGTCGTTCTGTTTTTTGTTTTGTTTCTTTGTATGCAGTTCCATCAAATGCGGCAGTCGAATCCTGGGAAATTCTCGTCCAGGTCTCGGAATAAGATTATCTACGGAGAGTTAGCTGCGTCGGAAATCATGAGCCGTCGGTGCATGAACATGCATAAACATATGAAGATCAAGGTAAGATTCGGGAAAAGATTTCAGAATAAGGGCTGTGTTTGGTTGAACAGGTACTCCGAATCCGAGTTCAATATTGTGACCACTTCTGGCGCGATTATGGCTCTCTGTCTTCTGTACGTGCACATTAAACTGGCACCTCGCCCTGTAATCCGGGTTTCGTGAGGTCGTCTCTGTAACATCAAATCGACGACGCATACTCGAGAACTGAGACTTGTATACTCCTTTTGTCGTGCAGCTGGATGGCGAGGACATCGATATAGCATCGGGGCCATCCTTGCAGTGCCTGGTCATGCTGAATATTGTATCGTAAGTGCATCCAGACATGTCGGTACTTATAATATTATCACGCGATATATGCATGCTCGAGTCCGTAGAAACTCATTTTGTCTTGACTTCCTATTGGCCGGTGTTATGCTCATCTGATCGGTTACCGGTATAGTAGCGTACCCTATCGTTGCTACTTCCACACTTAAAATCAACGAGTACGCACGCTTGCACTTGCAGGATGTATGCGGGATGTGACATCTGGGGAACTAAGACCAGCAAAAACTTCAAAGCCCAGGCCATGGACGACAAAATATTCGAGGTAGCTGGCATCGCCGATCTGAAGCACATGGTATGGCCTGTCAAATGCATTTTGCGTGACGCTGAACAAGCAGCATTACATATCTGCGGCATACAGGTTCATAAATGCTACCCGTATATCGCACAACCAATCTATCGCACGTATCCACTAAGTCCGCAGTGGAACATACTAGAAAAGTGGTTTGGCATTTGCTTTCCTCCCCACAAAATTCTCAGCTTCTTGCCTCACGATATATGTACCAAGCCAAATTTTTAGAACTTGCACGTAAATTCAAATGAAGCGGTAGTGATTGCTTCTGTCGTGTGCATATGGTTATTCATATGGAATGTTCTTCTGTTCATAGACCACAATTACAGCTGGAATTGGGAAGAAAGGTCACCGCATCGGCCAGGGGTCGGTGCTACAAATTACAACGGATATTGCTCTTCCCATGCAAATAGGTATAGTTACCTTGTTTGAAGTTGGCATAGCTGAAGAATATCGCTGCTTAGTACCGTTTAAGCTGGCTTCTCTCGGTCAGAGTAGGAATAACCTAGGTTGCGTAAGTGTTTGTTTGTGCTGTATCGCCTCGTCCGCTATACTCGGGACTCTTATCCAATATAATTTGACATTCCTATTCGATCAGACGGAGAACCTTGGCTTCAATCACCATGCCAAATTAAAATCAAGTTCCACAATCAGGTATGCCACCTCACGTGTGTATATTCGTACTTAATCTTTGATTTTATAGATGGTCAGATGATGGAAACACATTTATTATCTCGGGAGTTTTTTTCAATCGCTCAGCACTATCTGATTTACTCCGTGGAATGTCGGGAATTATATTGGTGCTCTTACTCATGCTCATGCTGCTTCGTCTTCACCAAAGGCAAGAGTGCTGCAACCGGAGTCACCTGTCCAGACTGAGCTACAAGACCGTAGCAGTGTATCTAGTCTACTTGGTTGAGGACACAGCCCTGCACTTTGGCTCTCATATCTCTTGGGGATGAGGGGTTAATTTCCTGATAAGCACGACTGTACGAGTCCTGCTGGAATACAATGCATTAGTCTGTACAACTTACCACGGTAGTCTGCGAGAATTGTGACTTCCGCCTCCCTCAAATAACAAAATAAACTATAAAACCTGTGACGATGTTGCGGACTATGCTGGCTGTTCTGGTTGAGCCGACCCGCCTCGCATACTATTATTCTAATGAACTTGTACATGATATATTATCAAATGCAGTACACTTACACCATATGCAAACATAAAATGCTTATAGCCACCGTCTCGTCTGCTATGTACTATCATAATATTGGCGTGACCGTCCTGAGTACATGCAAGAAACCTTTCCTGCCCGTACGAATTTTCCCTTTATTTATTACGGGATCAGTCCTATGTTTAGTTGTACGATTTTCAGCAATCTTTTAAGTTGAATTTATTTTATTGAATGATAAGGCTAGAGGGCGATCAATAGCAATTATCACGCCTATATCGGACAGTGTGCAGTTGAGCCCACCACTAATCGCACGGCGATCACACTCAGACTTCGCGGCCCACTTCGCTTTTCAGCATCCACACTTGCACCATCCGGATACCGCAAATCGAATTTGAAGGTCAAAGCTAGTAATTTCACACTTCCATAATGTGCATTGTAACCTAAACATACCACCAGGAGGTTCCTTGTTTTGCTATGGCAGCGAGATTAGTTCACAACCAAAATGGCATTTAGCGCTTCGCGAAGGTCTTTCCGCTGTAGACGGTTGTTAAGTCGCAAAGCAGATTATTAATGCGGTAGTAAAAGAATCGTAGTAACAACACTTGCGATACAAGAGTGAGAGAGGGCCACGAGTACAACCAATTGTTTAAGCTGAATGCGCCCAGATAGTACTGTCTGCTTTCTAGACATCTTGGCGGGCCGCGAAAAGACGGCCTTTAAATTTAAAACATAGAAGGCTGACTCGCGAACAACAGGAACACTGACTGTGCATGGCAAACTAGCAGCAGGTATAAATCAATTCATCTACAGATTATTGATTCAAAATTTTATGTGACTATACTGCTGACGAAGTTGCCGGTTCACCAATACCTACCGCATATACGCAACGCACACACCTGAATGTTTTCTTATCCTTCTTAACTTCGGGCTTGGCTCTGTTCAACACCTTCAGTGATGTAGAGACGCGCGCTCTCATTCGAGTGTGTAGGTATGCCTTGCTGCACTTGATGTGGTAATGGAAGTAGTCTCGGAACATCTGTAATAGCGCCGCATGGGTTATTATGAAGCGTAGAGTGTGAGCAAATGAGGCGGTTATAATTTACCACCGAATTGAGGTACACACTTCGCCCAGGTGATAGGTGGCACAATTGCGTAGGACAGCCAGTGTTTTAGGGCCAACACACTAGGAAGCAATCAAACTGAAACATGTGTGCCATGCACGTCACGGTGCTTTCAGGCCACAAGGTGCATGCAATAAGAAAATACAACAATCTGAACACCCTGAATCATGAGCTATCGATTATAGATGAATTAAAACTGCGGCGATCTATGACTCAAATGTAAAGGCTTTTGATAAGTATGCATTTTATAAGCAAACTAATTGTGCAGGTAAAGTGCGGTGCATAATGGAGACAAAGTGCATCCGTACCTGAAGCATATTGATGCAGTTGTCCTCTTTGTCGCCATCATAGTGTCTGGGAAACAACACAAATGTGATGTAACTGATGTTGTCAGCCGCCTCGGCACCTGTTCCGTCTAACTCGGACGGAGGGTCCTGTGTGTAGTAATTGCATAAAGGAGAATGAGCTCGGCTATAAATCCGGGTAGTAAATCCGTAAAATGATCTATGGGAGTTATGAGCAATGAAGCAGCGCGGTCTACCCATGCCGGCTATGCGCATCCCACAGAGAGCTAAGGTACGAAAAAAGTGTATTCCGCATAGTGTCGATTGCTAGAGAGGACCACTTCAAGATATGTGATATCGATTGTGTCGAAATTTGGCAACACAAAAGGTACATGACCTACATGGCAATATATCATTCCACACTAGTTTAGTAATCAGATATACGCCAAAAGTTATAAATTTACCCACTACACACACCTTCCAACTATAAATGACCTGAGGGGCCTCGCGAACTTTCTTTTTTGCATCCACGAACTCTTGCAAGAACACCTTGTTCGCGAGAGTGATGTCGTCGGCATCTTGGAATGTCGTACTGAAAACAACGGTGACCCTATCGTGTCTTGCCTACAATGTTAAATCGACGGAGGCAGAAATTATGGAATTAGATACGTAAACTCTCCGTGGCTACGAATATTATACTCCATGTCACCGTTCAGTATCTTGTACAGTGTCTACTCACCAGATATAAACCAATGCGCAAGGGAGAAACATGGAGAGGTTCAAGAATCTCCCCCAGAATTCGCTCCATCCAACAGAACACACAAATGTGGATGATGTCACAAGCTTCCACCCACACTGACAAGCACCCAGCACTTGCCACGCACACTCTGGTCCAGGCACATGAAATTACATATGTACAGTATTACTCCTAACCTGTAGCCAGATGGAGGAGTCTTCTCGGTACTGGATCTTCATAGTTTCTTCGCTACCTCCCTCCTTTTGCTGCCGGAAGGCTCTCTCGAACGGGGCTGCGAATACATTGCGTTTCAACAGCGCTACCTTCGATACTACCTCATCTTTTTCTTCGTTTAGAGCTTCCGAATCCACCACGATCGAGAAGTCATACCCCTTCTCAGTGTCGGTGATCATGTCTCCATATATGCGCTTCAGTACGTCGTCCGCTCCACACGCCTGCATCTCTCTGCGATTGTTCATATATTGACTTAGATATCTAGGATTGAACATATCGGCAATGCCGGGCATGTTGATTGATAGTGTATAAAACTGAGAGTGGGGCGGGCGCCTAAGCACCAGCAACGCATGTGATGGAGAACCGTCATGCATGATAGAATATGAGTGTGCGAGCTCACTACTTGAACACAGGTGCCAATGGTTTCACACACAGAGGTTGGCAGACTCGCCGCGGCCATGCATGTGCAGGTACGGTCTGTGTAGATCATAGATGTCTTGCGGATGCTAAGCAATGGATTTGACACAATTTAGGATCGGTCAAATACCCAAAATAGAACCACGTCTAGCATATACTGAGCGTTTCGTGAACTAGGGAAAATGATCCCGATAAAAGAGACGTCGAACACGATTGTTGAATTTGAATTGTTCTACAAATCACGTAATCAGATCATTTAACGTACATATCCTGTAAAAGCACCAACTTAGAATTCCGTACAAAGCCGTTAGTGTCGTGCAAGATGTCAATCTAGCTCACTATCCATTTGCAATGAGAAACGCGTTTGTTTCTGGATAACAGTCACTTCACGCGAAAATTTATATATTTAGATATATATTGAACATACTTGAAGGCAGGCCAGCCGATACTAATTTTTAGCGAAGATTTGGCTCCTTCGACGGGAGACATATGATATAGTACACTATCAAAGTCAGCAAGAGTCACATCGACAGGCTCCAGCGACTCTGAATCCCTATATGCAGAATTTATCATATATGACGTAAATAAAGATCAACTTCTACAATAAACTATAATTGTCATACTTATACCTCTGCCCCAGAAACAAAACATTACATATGTATA